TTTGATTATTCAATATTGATTACTCAATACTGAAAGGGCCTTCATCCTGACTACAGTGTATTGAATTTCCCTGATGTAGCTTCTGTGGTCTAATTTGTACATCATATATATATAGAGAGAGAGAGATGGATAGATAGATAGTCTTTCAGTCTTATTTAGGTTGAAAACTTGAATTAACCAAATAGAAATATCCATGCTGTCAGTTAGAGATAGAGTAGTTATTTCTATGTTATGCTGCAGAATTTAAAAAAAAAAAAGGTATAAATTTGAATGACTGTCCTCTAAAAGTATCTATATTCTGGGGCTAAGTGTGTTTTCCTCCCTTTAAAAATAAAGTTCCAGGGACGTGTGTCTTGAAATATTTGTATACTTACCTTTTTAATTTTGTAGCAGACATTTCAGAAGCTTGGATTTCACTTCAGATTCAAGAGTTGGTGCATCACCGTCCGTTCATCAAGCAGATGTTTATGTTAGTTGTTACTCTGTGCCAAGCTCTGAGTCGCTATGGGGTGGAAACAGCAGAGCCGGTGCCAGCAGGGAGCTACCTCTATGGAGAGAAATAGTTTCAGAGTTAAATTGGGTGATAGGAGGGAGGTAGGGAGAGGTGCGTTTAATAGGGTGGGCGGAGAAGGGTGGTTCAGAGAATTTAAACTGAGATCGGAAGGAAGGGACCAGCTACGAGGAGAAGATTCAGATTCTTAGGAAAAGCATCCAAGTGGTGTTCAAAGCTCTGAGGTGAGAATTATTTAAGTTGGCTTTTTTTGCTTTTTGTTTTCTTTCTTTCCTTTTTTTTTTTTTTTTTTTGAGATTTTATTTATTTATTTGTGAGAGAGAGAGAGTACAAGCAGGGGGAACAGCAGACAGAGGGAGAAGCAGGCTCTCTGCCAAGCAAGGAGCCAGAGGTGGGACTCCATCCCAGGACACTGGGATCATGACCTGAGCCAAAGGCAGACGCTTAACCAACTGAGCCATCCAGGCATCCCATTACTTGTTTTTAAAAGGACTACAACAAAAAAAATGGGAATTCAGGGAGAGAAAGCAACAGCCATCAGAGATGTTTGATTACTAAGCGTGAAACAATTGGAAATTTGGAGATTTCTCAAAGCCTGCTCTTTTATTTTAATGATGGGGAAACAGAGGCCAGGTGAGATTGATGTGTTTTTGGTCATATACAAGTTAAATTGTCACTCGGGTCTCCCATTTCCAGATCTATTGTTTTTCCTATTAAACGAAACTACTTTTATTGTGCTTAAGAACTCTAAATGTATTGCAGAGTATTTGGTTTTTATAGTTGAGAGTTGAAACCTTTACAGAGTTGGTAAACATTTATTTAGGCTTTCTTTATAATCAATAACAATTGCCAAAGCCATATCAATCATTGTGATTTCCATCCCTTATTAAGAAAATCACAGGAAGTACTTTACCCCTTCAGTCATTTATTGATTTTAGTCTCTAGCTTGGAAATCTTTAGCTCTTTTGTGGTGCATCAAAAAGGAATTCCTGGGGGTGTGTGGGTGGCTCAGTGGATTAAGCCACTGCCTTAGGCTCAGGTCATGATCTCAGGTCCTGGGATCAGCCCTACATCCGGCTCTCTGCTCAGCAGGGAGCCTGCTTCCCCCTCTCTTTCTGCCTGACTCTCTGCCTACTTGTGATCTCTCTGTCAAAGAAATAAATAAAATCTTAAAAAAAAAAAAAAAAGGAATTCCTGTTTCTGTTTAATTTCCACACAGTCCACTTTAGTTTGAAACTAGATATTGTCCATCTTGTTTAAAAGAGGGGAATGTTTTTATTGCTTCCAATCATTTCCAATTATAACCCTATTGGCTTGCTATACATTTCTATAATTTATGCACTTTCCTGTCTGATAAATGGCAAAGCTTGAATTTTCAAGCCAGCCATTTATATAAATTGCTGGTATGCTTTCTATTTAGCTACCTTTCTGCTTCTAATATTTTTGTTACTCTGTGGAGAAATGAATTGGGCTAATACTGTTTTCAGCTCTCCTTGATTTTTCTGTTAGCCTTTTAATCCATATATAGGAATTGTTATGAGCTTAGCTCTACATCATAGTAAAACCTTCCATTTGGTGATTATTATATAGGACAACTAACATTGTCCCAAGAGTCACAGTCAGGGGGAATGGTAACCTGACAGATCAGAGAGTAGAAAAATATGTTACAGATACTTCAGAAATTGTAATTAAATAAACTTATATGGCTTTTGGAGTATCTAAATGTACTCCCACCCTCTGTATTATAAGAAACTAAAATATTTTTCTGTATGCAGATGATGTGATTTTTTTTTTCAGTTATTGAGGAAAAATCAAGAAAATTGTAAAGTATTTAAAGTGTACATGTGATGATTTGATATACATATACTTTGTGAAAGGATTACTCCCACTGAGTTAATTAATACATTCATCACCTCACATATTTACCTTTATTTGGTAAAAGAACATTGAAGGTTTTTTTCCCCCAAAGATTTTATTTATTTGTTTGAGAGAGAGAGAGAATGTGCGCATAAGCAGGGGGGAATGGGAGGCAGAGTGAGAAGCAGACTCCTCGCTGAGTAGGGAGCCTGATGTGGGACTCGATCCCAGGACCCTGGGATCATGACCTGAGCCGAAGGCAGACACTTAACCGACTGAGCCACCCAGGCACCGCTAAGAAAATTCTTTTAAATTGATGTGTGACATTTGTCACAAAAGTACACAGTTTATAAGAGTTTGATCTGATGAACATTCAGAAGGTGAATACACCCATGTAAACCAGCACCCAGTCAAGAAAGAGAACCTTATCAATACACCAGTCTGACTCCAAATATCAGTAGATTTGCTAGTTTTTAACTAATGGTTTTAAATAATCGTTTTAAATAATTTTTGTGAGATTCATTCATGTTCATGTGTGTATTTGGTTTGTTTATTTACATGTCTGTACAGTATTCCCTGGACAAACATACAATAATTTCTTAGTCTCTTCTACAGGTGATGGACATTTGGATTGTTTCCAGGGTTAGACTCTCTCAATGCTGCTAAAAGCATTCTTGCACATGTGCTTTGGCACATTTATTGTGCCTTTTGTTGATTACATACATTGGCGTGGAATCACTATACTCTAGGTAGGATTATGTTCAACTTTAGTAGATCATGACAGTTTTCTAAAGTGATTGTGAAAATTACACCTCCATCATCTGTGCAGGAGAATTCCAGTTACTCTGCCTCCTTGTCACCCCTTGCTATTATCTGTTTTTTATTTTAGCCGTTGTGAGGTGTTTTGATTATTCTATGAGGAAAACATTGTCCTCGCCAGCAGCGTGCCCTCAGTAAACCTCCATGCTGGGATTGAGCTGTGTTCTACTTGGTCTTCTTTCCTTTTGTGAGAGTGTTGCTCCAGCTTGACTGATTACTGGAGCACAAGTTTCTATATTTTGCAGGGAATTCAGAATATCTGTATTTCTGGTAAATGCGCTCAGTACTTACAAGTAATTATGCTAAATGAAATGTGAGTTTATGAAGTGCATTAGTCAGTATACTGAATGCAAGTGCTTTAATAAAGCCACCAATTCAAACTAGTTTAAGTGAAAAACGTGGTTGACTCTTCTGGCTGAGAATCCAAGCTTGGGGGGCCCTAGGGGCTACGCTTTGCTTTCCATATCCCGGAAAGAGCTTCTCAGGCAAGCTCTCTCCCTGTCTGGGGACAAGATTTTGCCAGGAGCTTTAAACTCCCAGCAGTTAAACAGAAACCAAACCAAAACAACAACCATAACGATAGACTTCTTCCTGTTTTCCGCGAGCTCTATAACCCACATCCTGCAACTGAGTCTTCTTGGCTCTTGTTCATTCCTTGGCTCAGGGTTGGCATCCGTACCCTAGGACCACATGCTCTTAAAGGAGCAGTGATTCTCCGGAAAAAGTGGGGTTCTGATACCAGAAGACGGGAGGATGGTTGGTGGCAGGCAAAATCAACATCCTCTCTGAGTCAGATGATTTGCAAAAGGGTGTGCGGTCTGTTTATTCCTTTAGCTAATACAGAAGTTGCCCTTGGATCAAGTGATCGTGCTGGAAGGTTGTATACATGGATTGCATTATTTGGGGCCCCGTGGAATTGCTTTTATTGAACTGTACTTGGACATTCTGTTCTCCGCCTGCATTTAGAGACAGTATAATGAGCTGCCCTGAGGATTTCCTTATATTACTGTCAGGTAGTACTGAGGACACTGTTTTACTCTCCAGTTCATAGGATTTCATGGGAGAATATTCTCCATGGCCTCTGTACCAGGAAGAGTTGAACTGTTTCTTTTTTAAAAAGATTTTATTTATTTATTTGACAGAGAGAGAGATCACAAGTTGGCAGAGAGGCAGACAGAGAGAGAGAGGAAGGGAAGCAGGCTCCCCGCTGAGCAGAGAGCCCGATGTGGTGCTCGATCCCAGGACCCTGGGATCATGACCCGAGCCGAAGGCAGAGGCTTTAACCCACTGAGCCACCCAGGCACCCAGAGTTGAACTGTTTCTAAACAACTTTTATGATTTTATCTTGTGGTATTTCTGAAACTGATAATGTTCCTTCTTTGCATTGCTAGTATGAGAGTCCATTTTTTTTAAACTGAGCTCTACACCCAGTGTGGGGCTTGAATTCATGACCCCAAGATCAAGATTTACTCTACTGACCGAGCCAACCAGGTGCCCCTAGAATGATAGAGTTAGTTTTATGGCTTGTTTTAATCAAGTCCAATAGACCTCTAAGCCTAGCTTTTTTAGTGGTGACCTCACTCCTTTATTTTTATTTTATATTTCCTTTAAAATGTGATTTCCCAGTTCTTTTTCCTTTTTCTTCTGCTATATATTTTTTGAAAACTACCTGAAGTCTTTTCTGAAACCAAGTTGTGAAATAAATAGAACTTATGAAAATTTTATTCCATGTATTGAAACTATCACCACAAAATGAGTAAATCTGCTTGGCTTTGGCAAGAAGTATATTAATAGGACTTACTTTGTGTTCCAGTTTTAGATGAGAGGGCTGTGAAACACTACAGAATCAGAAGGCTGGATGAAGGGGCATTTTTCCTTACCCAGAGAAGAACCTTTTCAACACTGAATGAAATTGTGAGCTACTACTCCAAGACAAGTGATGGCCTGTGTGTCCAGCTGCGAAAACCATGTTTAAAGGTGAAATGCTTTCAAGATGGTTCATTTTGAAGTTAACCTTTTGCCTTCATATATTGGAGTATCTCTCATGTGATATGTCTGTTCAGGAGGTGGGGGAAAAAGGTCATTTGATTACCTGAGGCATGGATAGAAAAACTATGGCCTACAAGCCCATATTGTCCCACACTTATTTTTTAAATACTAAATATTTATTGGAACATGGACATGTTCCTTCATTTACAAATTGTCTTTGACTTTTCTCTGTACTAGCAGCATTTAATAGTTGCAACAGAAACTTCATGGCCCACAAAGACTGAAATACTTACTATCTCATTCTTTTTAGAAAAAGTTTGCCAACCCCTGACCTAAGGCACTCACTCAAGACAGAAAGTATTCATTCTTTGCACTAGGAAATTAATCTGGTGTCCTGCCACTGGAGCACTTAATGATATGTCTGGACAGGGAAAAAAGTGCCCAAATATAATTCTTATTTAGATCTGTATTCAAGAGTATTAATATGAAAATACTAGACTCATTAGCTGGTCTGCATAGAGATGTCATTTAACTAACTGTTCTAACAGTTTGGCTGGGCCAAACATTGATAGAATTTATCTACATCTATCAGTTGTGGCATGTCTAACCTAGACTTATTTAAAGTTGTAGAGTGGTCTGGCACTGGTGTGGGACAAAACTTCAGCTCCTCATCAGAGTTCAGGTCTTGTGTCCTGTCAACAGGACAGCCAGCCCTGTGGTTTATGTCTGGATAATGAATGAAAGGCTCCTGGTAACACCTGACCAGAATTTTATGGACAGGTAGAAGCTGAAGAATTTTGTTCAGTGTGTATGTGTAGGGAATTCATTGACTTAAATCTTGCCAAGTGAATGTGCAATTTTGGTATAAGTGCATGCATCTTAGATGGTGTAGGCATGACCCACAAGAATATGTAAGCTCATGCTAAGAATAGCTTACCTGATGCAAAGATGTGGCTTAAAAAAATACTCATTTTAACCAATATTGTTGGATTCTGCTGGGGACAAATGTTCACAAAGAAGCATATACCTTCTGTGTATTCAATGTGCTGATGATTTGGCAGAGGAGCTAAGATAATTTCTTTTTTTTTTTTTTTTTATAGATTTTATTTATTTATTTGACAGAGAGAGAGATCACAAGTTGGCAGAGAGGCAGACAGAGAGAGAGGAAGGGAAGCAGGCTCCCCGCTGAGCAGAGAGCCCAATGCAGGGCTCGATCCCAGGACCCTGAGACCATGACCTGAGCTGAAGGCAGAGGCTTAACCCACTGAGCCACCCAGGCGTCCCACTAAGATAATTTCTGATGGTAGATAATGAACTAGACGATGGATTCTAGGAGGGCAGAGTCTTGTCTATTTTGTTTACTGAATGGGATATGTATTTACTAAATGTTTGTTTACTGAATGGGATATGTATTTACTAAATGAACAAGTACATGAGTGAATGAACAAATAAATAAATGAATTTGAAACAAGGTGGACATTTTAATTATGCAAAAATATATGATACATATGGTAAATGATATAGGCCAAAGAATTTGGGAATTAATTGCAAATCAGGTGGAACTTCAAATGGGCCTTAAATTTGGGAGGATTTAGCTAGGCAAAAAGTCAGAGGAAAGTCACGTCAGACCCATGCAGGAGTGGCATTGGATGTGGAGTGGGTCAGATGGACAGCAGGGTGCCTGATGTAGCAAGAATTGGGGGGAGATCAGCTCAAATAGCAAGGATACAGGTTCTGCCATGATTGCCTTTTCATTTTAAAGCAATGAGAATAAAATGTACAATGTTTTGGTTTTAAAAATCGTGTCTTTTTAAAAAAGTGCCTAGACTATTATTTTCAACCAAAAAAATTGTCAAATCTTTTTCTTATACTTATTCTAATTATTCTGTGAAACAGATACAAGTGCCAGTGCCTTTTGATTTGTCATATAAAACCGTGGACCAGTGGGAGATAGACCGCAAGTCTATACAGCTTCTGAAGCGATTAGGATCTGGGCAGTTTGGTGAAGTGTGGGAAGGACTGTGGAACAACACCACTTCAGTAGCAGTGAAAACATTAAAACCAGGTATGGACAGAGAATGTCAAAGGTGAAATGTCATATGTTGATTTTTAGAAGCTCCACTTGCTACTGTCACTGTCCAAGGGGTCACAGGACAACCAATGAAGGCACCAAGCAAGTGTTGTGATCACCTTCTCTGGACCAGATGACAATAAAGGATAACATGCTTTAGATTATAAAGGCAAGAGCAGGTGCCTGTGATCAGCTAATGCTTAAGATATCCCCAGGGCAAGATTTCAACAAAGTATCTCTTCTCTAGAATTCGGATTATCCCTCTTCCCATTTTTTCCTAGCCTCCATTACAAATACTGACTTCACTGAAAATACTTAAATCAGTGGAACCTTGGAGATCTTCAGGGATCTGAAGGGAGAAACAGTTTTATTAAACACTAATTATTTATGGTTAAAAGGTAAAAAGAGAGAGTCAATTATCATATGGTTTCACTTATTTGTGGAGCATAACAAATAGCATGGAGGACATGGGGAGTTAGGAGAAGGCAGTTGGGGGAAATTGGAAGGGGAGGTGAACAATGAGAGACTATGGACTCTGAAAAACAATCTGAAGGGTTTGAAGAGGTGTGGGGGGGTGGGAGGTTGGGGGAACCAGGTGGTGGGTATTAGAGAGGGCATGGATTGCATGGAGCACTGGGTGTGGTACAAAAACAATGAATACTGTTACGCTGAAAAGAAATTTAAAAAAATGATTAAAAAAAAAGGTAAAAGGGTCCATCTAAAAGCCCTCATATTTGGAAATGTAAAAACTATTTTTTTCTTCCATCTTCCTTTTTCCTATCATAGAAATTAGAAGTACACTAAAATCATATTTATTCAGGCAGGCATTATCCCCTCCATTTTAAAAGCAGGATAAGAAAATTTAGAAAGATTAAGTAACTTTCCTAAAACTTACTAGTTGTATAAAACAAAGTCTCAGTTTTATCGTTTATAAAAAAGAAGGTTGTGTGTGCTATGGTGAGTGCTGTGAAGTGTGTAAACCTGGTGATTCACAGACCTGTATCCCTGGGGCTAATAATACATTGTATGTTAATTAAAAAAAATAAATAAATAAATAAAAATTAAAGAAAAAGAAGAGGGTCATTAGTGCAAATGCTTTGAATAAAGTCTGGTTCACAGTAAGTGACCAGGAAAAGCTGTTCTTATTTTAATTATTATTATTATTGTTATTGTTACTGTAAGGTCATTCAGCGGCAGAGCTGGAATTCGAACCCACATCTATCTCTGCGGCATCTCCCTAGGGAAGTGACATTCTCTGACAGTGTGACTTTACTGTAGTTGCCTCACAACTACTTCTAATAACATAAGCAGGAATAATAACCAGAAGCTAGAGTATGGTTCTCTGGGGAACCTTCCTTCTTTACCGAACCCAGAATCCTTAAGGGTTTAGTAAACCGCCTGGTGGCAGAGCTGGAGCCTCTGGGTGCTGCTGGTTAGCAGTCTAGTGTAACACCATGGTTCCCAAACTGTGTGCCAAGGCACATTGGGGCACCACAGTGAATTCACAGGACTGTCACAGGATATTTAAAAGTTTTGAGGTAAACTTGAATACCACACAGTTCAGTATTAGACCATGTTACATTCTTTTGCTGACATCATATCTTTGTGAAAATAGGTTTTTGGTAGGGACTGGGATAATAAGCAAGATCCAAGCAGAAATCAATGTGGGGCAGGAAATGAGCAGAGCCACATTTTCTCTGCTTCCAAGACTTGAAAAATTGTGTTGTGTCCCATAAATGTATGTATTTCTTTAGTAAGTAATTGTGGTGAAGAATGAAATAAAAATTATTTTTTATTTTGATTTATCTGTATTACTTTTCAAAATGGGTATTAACTTATTGGAACACAAATACTTTTCAAGTTGCTTTGATTTAACCAAGGAATCAATAGAACCGTTAGATATTGGCTTAGGGGCAACATGAAAAAAGTTCTTGAGACAGTGAAGGTGCCATGAAGCGAGCAAGTTGGGCCTCTTTGGTGTAATAGTAGGAGCATAAAGTTTGGTCTAAGTTAGACCTGATTTCAGTCTTGGCTCTGGCTTCTGTGACATCAGACAATTTATTAACCTATTGAATCTCCTCATCTGGAAGTGGGAATTATAATAGTTCCTACTTCACAGGGTTTTATGAGGACAAATTGAGTCAATGTGTATAAAATACCGGCAGTGAGTTCTTATTACTAAATGTTAGCTTCAGTGGGGCTGCTGGCAGATGTCCACTGACGTGCAATTTGCTAGTACAGCCCTTCTGTCTCAGCATCTACACCTGCCTTCTCAAGTGATGGAGAAGCACTTCCGAGTGGCCAGATGTCATGTTGAGCACTCCAGGTGAGGACGATCTATTCCAGCACCTGAGATGTTCCCAATCACTGCATATATGTTATTTTGAATTCTAATCTTGTTGACAGTTGAGCCTCAGCTTTATTTCCCAATCTAATCATTCTTTTCCAAAAACGAAGCTGCTAGCTATTCATCCCAACATTGTTCTTTAAGGAAGGCCTTCTGGAGGTCAAAAGAGAACAACAACAACAAAAAAATTGCATTTCTTATATTAAAAAAAAAAAAGCCACGATAGTTTTCTCTCCAACAGGAATAATTATTATTGATTTACAGTGTAATAGCAGCAAACAGCTTTGGTGATTGGTTAAATGTCTTCACTTCACCGGGGCCATTAATCAATCTCAACAGCTATTTATTGCTTAGCAGACTACCACGCAATAAAGACGAGCCTGAAATCAACTCCCACAGTAGCTATGACAGGCAAAAATTAATATTTAATGTTGCATTACTAGCTGAGTTGAAATTGGGTCTCTGCTGTGCAGCTGGTCAGCTGTAACCAGCGTAGCCGTGGAATGTTCTGAGCAGACGTCACCTGCAGAGGCTCCTGAAGTCCCTGTGGGTCCAGCTCTTGTGCGTAGTCTGATTTGGCGATGATTTGAGTGTCCTGCATTCCACGGATCTGACGGCGACCAAAGCATTTGTGTAGAAGCATACTGTATACATAAATTGCCTGAATGGTGATCATAATTGCTTTTATCATTGGAAGCTTCATGAATCAGATTATTTTGGGGTGGGGTGGGGAGAATCCAAGTATATCCATATTTGACCATAGACCAAACTAATTGTAACAAGAAGAAAGTCCTTTATTATGTTTCAAGTGCCTCTTTTCTTCTGAGCTCCATTTCACCACTATTTGATTATGTGGAGCAAACCAGTGGTAGGGATGGAATGGAGGAACAGAGAAAATCATGATGGAAATGAGTATAGGTCCTTTTTCTCTATTCGCCCTCTTTCAAGTCCTTGCCCCTTTCCCTCCTCAGTCTGTGAGAAAATACTTAGAGTTGATGTGTTTGGCTTTTTTGTGAAGTATGCATATTAATAATAATATAAATCATAACCAATAGTCATTGAAATATGTATATATACCTATATGCATATTTATGCCAGATATTGCTATTTCCTGGTGATGATATTATGATATCAGTAGGGTTATCAGCCATGTTTTACAGATGAAGAAATTGAAGTTCAGAGACATTTGGTAACTTACTAAAGATCACACAAGTGAGCTAAGATTTGATCAAATCTGAGTTTGACCAAGCCTGTGTTCTGAACTTCTACACTCAAGGGAATACCAAAGGACAGACTGCCTAAATGCTTTATGTGAAATGATCTGCAAGTCACATCTAACTCTTCTTAGTGTGATGTTAATAAACCAGTTGGAGTGTGGTCTTAGAACGTCCAAGCTTGCCCATGCCTGGGTTCCAATATCAGTTGTGAAGTCTTCATCATGAGTTAGATGAATGGAACCGTCCCTTGGAGTGTCAGTGGAAATGTTATTTGCACTGTCCCCAGTGAATACTGAGATGTGAAGTGACAGGATTCCTTCAGTTACAGTAATGTCTCTGAAACATCATATCCTAAAAAAATATGAAAGATTTTAAAAAATTACCGATGAAATGTAAGCTCCGGGTGTCCTTCCTCCTCTTAGACTTTATTTGTTAATTACGGGCACTTTGCATGGTAACAGTTGAGCCATTAAGATACAATTTAATTGTAGGTGACTCTTCCAAATAGGTCCCAATACTGTCTCCCTTATCGTTCTGTTACGCTCTTAAGAGTGTGACTACAGATGTATTAATATGAGAGAAAATGTTGAAGACCAGTTTGAAGTTAGACATAGAAGACTGGTGGAAAAAAAAAAAAAAACCAACCTCTAAGTTTTGGGTGTAGCCCTTAAATGTTTTCTGCTTGGCCGATACCATATATCCCTATAGAATTAAGAACATAAATATGGCAGAATGTCATTGCTTCAGGGTTGTTGCCCAGTGGGTACCAAGGACAGGGCAACTATCAGTCTTCTCTGGATCCTGGACCAAAAAGGTCTGGCTGCAGTAATTAAACATTCAGTGTCCTCCAGCATTCATGGTAACAGAATGTCTTCTCTCTGTGTTCTTAATTTGCTGGCCTTGTTTTATCAATTAGACTGTCAGTCACTCGTTTTCCCTTCATTTTTCATATGGACCTGCGTCCACCTCTTTTCACCTACAGGTCATAACCCATAAATTACACCCCCTTGGTGTACCCACACATTAGTTATTAGGTTGCCCTGGCTGGACTGATTCTTTTCTTTGATACATCTGAAGATTTGCGACACCAGTGCTCTTACTTTACGGAGAAGCAGGAAGCAATCTTGGTGATTCCCACCAGACTGCTGTGAGGATAGGAATGCCTCAATAACATAAAGTGATTTCCTCCTTTTCTTGTTTCAGGTTCAATGGATCCAAATGACTTCCTGAGGGAGGCACAGATAATGAAGAACCTAAGACATCCAAAGCTTATCCAGCTTTATGCTGTTTGCACTTTGGAAGATCCAATTTATATTATTACAGAGTTGATGAGACATGGAAGTCTGCAAGAATATCTCCAAAGTAAGCTAAAGACTTAATAAAAGGAAGAAAAAGAGGAATTTAGTTTAGCTAGTCCTATAAATGTCAATTTAGCAAGCCTTCTGTAACCCAGAGGATATTTACAATGTGTATATCTGTGAGAATGAATGTCTCAACATTGAAAGGCTCGACTACATTTTAATAGGAGATATACTGTGTGCCAAAAGGAGGAAAAATATTTATGTAGCAAAGAAGAAATTGTTCACAAATGACATAGTGGAGTACGTAAATGTAATGTAGAAAACTGAGGAATAGATGTTTTACATGATGCATTGTTTCCTATAATAACTAATGGAGCATTATCAGTCATGGACCAATTTGTTCTATGGCCCAGAATTAGGGGATGTGGAATACTTTTGGGGCAATAGAGGGAGACGTACCTTCATTCTTTTTCCTTTGCCAGTGTTTGACAACATCGTACCTGTTGGTGTTTAAAATACGTCCACTGCTAGGCAACATTAGAATTTTTAGACTAAAAAGCGGAAATATACTATTGCTTTATTTCTACATCTGCTTCCTATAGTAAGAGAAGACTTAAGGGCATTGTGAAATTTTGATGTTTATTGCAAATGAATAATTTAATACGCAACAATATAATGAGTATTAAAATGAGATGTTCAAAGTAGTGGAGATCAAGTACTGAGAGAATAATTCATGCCTAAAAAAGAGACTTTTTTCTATGCTTTCCTAAAATGACAGAGTGGGGTTGATGGCATGCGTACAGGTAAAGGGAGGTGAGATAAGATATTAGAAAGATAAGAGTGTTCTCTGATTTCAGGGTGACTTGTGAAGCTGTTGGTATTAAATGGCAGAAGTGGAGAAGGGGAGAAAAGAACGTGGGCCTGTTAAATGCTGTTAAAAAAAAATATGCTTAGCTCCTTTGCATAAAGAGAGCAAATTTAACCGTATCAGAATATATTAGCCATCAGAGTAAGACTGACCTCAGCCATTGACCCTTTTTGCTTTATTCCCAGGGACAAAAGTACAGTAGCCATCTTGGGTCAGGTTTAACAAAAATGATCACTTGTAATATTCATGGTGGTAAATCTAATAGTCAATTCTCAGTCCTCAGACCTATTCAGAGCTTTTATTTCAATGGACTTGAATGAATGGAAACACTTCCTTCATTTGGCTTCCAAGACACTTCAGTCAGTGGCTTTTCCTCCTGTCTTTTTCGTTGGTCCCTTCTCCCATTGATGTGATTTCCCTCATCTCTCAGATCTCTCAATATCTTGGAATTTTGCAACATCACTAGTTCCCTTGCTAATCTCAGTCAGTCTCAGGGTTAAATAACATTTATGTATCAAAGATTTCTCAAACTACATCCCTTCATTACTTCAGAATCATAAATCCAACTGCCTTCTTGACTACTCTACTTCAGTGCTTCTCTGGATAACCTTGGTGTGATGCAGCAACACCCCCCTCCCAAGTCCCAGAGACCTTTATTTCTTGCTCAAGCATGTGTGCAAAATAGATTGGTTGATGCCTCAAGTCTTTTCATCACCTTGGAAGGGGAAGGTGATGGGACTAATCTCGTTCTGGCTCTTAGAGCTCCAACGGGGAGATGCAGAGATAACTCCTGTGCCTTTTCATTTGGTCAAATCAAGTCAGAGGGAATAGCGAAGTATAATCCGCTAACCTGGCTGAAAGGAGAAAAAAAAATGTTTGTGAACAGCAAGAATTTCTACTCCATATGTCCACTAAAAAAAGATCTCAAAACAACGTGTCCAAAACTGATCGTATATCCTCAATAATCTGCTACTCTTGTGCTCTTTCCTTCTTAGACGATGTCAACACTCAGCCTAATCTCTTGGATCATCTCTACTTCTTCTCACAGCTTCCAGCTAACCAATTAGTAAATCCAATTGACTTTTTTCAAAGTATACCCAGGATTTTGCCCCCTCTCTGCCCACACACCCTGGTCCAAGCCGTCATCAGCTCTCTCCTGGATGGTGCAGGAGCTTCCTAAGTGGTCTCCCTCTTTTGGTTCTTGTTCCTCGCAGTCTCTTCTCAACGCAGGAGTTGGAGATCTCCTGTTAAAATGTCAGTCAGATCGTGTCTCTCCTCAGCTCAAAGCCTCACTGACTCCCGTGGGTTCTGCGTGTATGACCTCTAAAATCCTATGTGGCTCAGCTCTCCATTACCTTACTGACCACATCTCCCCCAGTATCTCCCTTGTCTCCCTTGACTCTGTGTTGGTCTCACTGTCCTTTGCTGCTCTTCATTCAGGCCCTTTGCACTTGCTCCGTCCTCTATCTGAATTCCTACCCCTTGCCCCCCGCCCCATTAATATCCACGTAGCTCACTTCTTCACTTCTGCCAAGTCTTTCCTCAGACATTCCCACAATGGTGAGTCCTTCGCTGGTCACCCTCTGAATTCTAAATTTATTCTCCTTCTGTCTCTTTGTATGCTTTTTTGTTTTCTTAGCTGCTGGTCATCCTATAATGTGTGACTTTGTTATGTGGCTTATTGTAAGTATCTTCTAGAATACAACTCCACGAGGATGGAGATTTTTGTTTTAGTGATAGAACAGTGTCAGGCACATAGAAGGTGTGCACTAATTCTGTGTTGACTGACTGAATGAGAAAATGAAGGAGAAATTAAGTGGGGGCTATTCTGAGCCTAATATCAAGACTTGGGGTTGAGTTTGTTTTGAGACCCTTGGTGTCAGCTTGACAAGATCCGCTTATTAATTACAAACTCCTTTGACAATGAGTTTTTTTGGTGGTGTGTTGATGTGTTTTATTCAGAGGTGAGCACAAACCCTGTCATATGCTGAGTTGGGCCTTCAGGGTCAAGTTTACCAAGGCCTTCATTTGCCAAGATACTTAGTAGCCATGAGGAGTAATGAAGAGATGCTCATTACAGACAATCCCTTCCCAATGAAGAGGGCTTACATTCAACAAAGTGATGTTAAAATGAGTCTGCCACTCTTAAACAGCCCATCACAGTAACTGTTGTAAGATGTAAGACTCTTGAGTAATGGAACATAATTGAAAATATTTTCTTGTTGCAGATATAAATTGTCACAGGCCTGTGAACCTTTATATCAGTTTTGACAACTGGCTGTTGTATCAGAAGTGTGTTCCGAGGTTTACATAGGCAGTTCCTAGGCCACTGCAGTCTTTCAGGGTAGAAAGTGTGTTATTACTTAATTTTCTTCTCTGTTGTGCCTGTCAGTGAAAACTTTTTATATCCACTATAATAGGATTAGATGTCGTATTTGATAGTGGGAATGACATACATATTCTTCCATAGAACCATCTTTGTAGTCCCTAAGCTTGGCTAAATATTTTTTTGTAATTAATTTCTCCAAAATGGAAGAGGCTTGTCAAAAAACTTAAGCATTGAGGGTAAGTGATATCGAATATCTCTTACTGAAATTTAAAGAGAATAAATATCTACATTTTTTATATACATACATATTTTTTAAAATAAAGTCCTACATATTGTTCATCGATCTCTTGGGGAGTTCACTTAGGTGCACTGAAGTAGACAGGAGTGTTTTCACTGAGATACTCTTTAGCTGACCGTAAGTGTAGCCCCAGCATTCAGGTGCTCGGGAATCATGGGTAAGGTTGGTCTTAGGGAGGAGGATGGAATAGTTTTTAAGAACATGAAAGTTCAACCTCAGACATGCCTGAACTTGACTTTCCACTCTACAACTTATTACCTGTTCTTCTAAGTGGCAGAAACTGCTATGAAAGGGAGCAAATAATAATGATACTAATTCATATAGTTCTAAATATAAAATGAGGTGATGTGGTGAAAATCAACCATATGGGATAGTGGTAAGAGAGGTGCATATATATTCAATTTTTTTTCTTTAAAAAAAAACCACTATATGGTATTTATGATGTGCCACGCATCTTCCTTCCTTCCTTCCTTCCTTCCTTGACTGATTGATCGATTTCAGAGAGAGAGAGAGAGAGCACATGAGTGGCAGGGGAAGGAGAGGAGGAACCCGGGGAGAGGGAGAGGCACAAGCAGACTCTGCACTGAGCACGGGGCCAGATGCGGGGCTCCATCCCATGACCCTGCGATCATGACTGGAGCTGATACCAAGAATCGGATGCTTAACTGACTGATGAAGGTTAATCACCTGTTTAACCACGCAGGTGCCCCTGCCAGGCATTTTTCTAAGTGGTGTACAATTTATTAACTTAGTTCATTCTTCTAAAAACCTGATGAAATGAGTATTATTATTATTATCATCATTTCCTCCTTATGGTGGAAGAAACTGAGGGATGGAGAGGTGAATAACTTACCTGAAGTGGTTGAGCCAGAATTTATACCCAGAAGTCTGGTTCCATACCTTATGCTTTTAACCATACACATAGCACTGGCATTATTTTCTTATTGTGAACCTGTATTCACGATCTATTGCTGTGCTACAAGTTACCCAAAACGTAGTAGCTTAAAATAGCAGCACTTATTACCTCAGTTTCTGTGGTCAGGAATCCAGGTACAGCTGAGCTGGGTCGTCTTCTTTTTTTTTTTTTTTTTTTTTTTTAATTTTATTTATTTATTTGACAGACAAAGATCACAAGTAGGCAGAGAGGCAGGCAGAGAGAGAGGGAAATAGGCTCCCTGCTGAGCAAAGAGCCCAATGTGGGGCTCGATCCCAGTACTCTGGGATCATGACCCGAGCTGAAGGCAGAGGCTTTAACCCACTAAGCCACCCAGGCGCCCCTGAGCTGGGTCTTCTACGTCCAGTTTCTCCCAAGGCTGCAGTGAGGTGTTGGCAGGTGCTTCAGTTATCCGAAGGCTCTAGGGGAGGCTGATCTATTCCCAAGCTCACCCATGTGATTGTTGGCAGGAATTGGTTTCTCCGGGGCTGTTGGACCGAGGAAGCCTGTTCCTTGCTGGGTGTTGGCCCAAAGCTGCCCTATGATCCTTGGTACATGGCCCTCTCCACAGGGCAACTTACAACATGGCAGTTGGCTTCATCAGAGTGAGCAAGTGAGAGAGCAAGAGAGGAGAGTTCCTGCAAGATGAAGACACTGTCTTTGATCACTTATCTTGGAAGAGATACCCCATCCCTTTTGCCGTATTGTATTTGTTTAAAAGTGAGTTGGTGTTCCAAACCATATTTAATGGAAGGGGATTTCATAAGAGCTCAAATACCAGGAGATAGAGAATATGAGAAACCATTTTAGAAACTGTCACTTGATGTAGGACTGGTCACCAGTGTATCTTGACTTTTTTATGTTTCTTTCCATATTGAGTTAATCTGGTATTGAAAGGCATAGCTATTTTGGCTAACACAGTAGCAATGCTTTCTCATTATGCTGCACACTAAGTTATGCTTTGTCTTTGGGGTGCCTGGGTGGCTCAGTCAGTGAAACATCTGACTCTTGATTTTGGCTCAGGTCATGATCTCAGGTATGAGATCGAACCTGTAATGGGCTCCATGTTTGGGTGGAGTCTGCTTGAGATTTTCTCTCTCCCTCTACCTCTCCCCCTGTGCACTCTCTCTCTTTCAATAAATAAGTAAATAAATAAATAAAATCTTTTTACGTACTTGAGAGAGAGAGCACAAGCAGAGAAGAGGGACAGAGGGAGAGGGAGACACAGACTCTCAACTGAGCAGGGAGCCCGACTTGGGACTTGATCCCAGGACCCTGAGATCATGACCCAAGCAGAAGGCAGACACTTAACCGACTGAGCCACCCACGTGCCCCAATAAATAAAGTCTTTTAAAAAAAAGTTATGTTTTGTCTTTTTGCTTACATTTCATGTTAGCTGCTATAATACACAATTCAAATATCTTAGTGACATAACAAATATATGCATTTTTGATATGCATCGGACTTACCCTTCTACATGACTCTCTTTAAATAGTGACATAGGGATTTAGACTCCTTTCATCATGTGGCTCTGCCATTTCAAAATTTATTTCTTCTAGCTACAAAAACAGAGATTTTAAGGATCAGGCCTAAAGTGACGAACATTCTCTCTTGCACACGTTGCAGGGCACAGAATTAGTGACATGGCCCAATTTAACTTCTAGGGAAGATGGGGAACATAGTGTTTGCCCAGGAAGAAAAGGACAGATAGGTCCATGAGTACTTAGTTTCACCACACATTGTACTTAACTGTGCTGCTTGTGTTAAAAAAACAAATATACATGTATGTACACACATGTGCGCTCACGCACACACACACACACAGTGCTTAGATCTATACCATTTTAAAAAATGGACTCAACTCTATTTATTTCATTTCTTTTTAAGATTTTTATTTATTTGACAGAGAGCACAAGCCAGGGGATCCGCAGACAGAGGAGAAACACTGAGCAGGAAGCTCAATGTGGGACTCGATCCCAGGATCCTGGGATCATGACCTGAGCCAAAGGCAGATGCTTAACCTACTGAGCCACCCATGCGCCCTTATTTATTTCATTTTTTAATTGAAAAGACGGCATACATAAATAACATACATCATTTAGTATAATTTATCATTAATTCAGAGTGAGCAAGTGAACAATGGGACAGCCACTGTACAAACCAACAATGCGAATGTGGCTAGCGCTCCAGAAACTCCCCGAGTACTGTATCATTGACAGCCCCTCACAATCGTGAATTTCCTGCTAATTGCTTTCCCTTGACTTACACTCTCCTCTGCCAACTTCCTGTTGCCTTCCCTTCTTAACCAGGGTTTGGAAATTGACATCTCCTTTTGCTGTCTCCATATCCTCAGCTCCCGTTCTGCCCTCTATCACACACCTGCAGTGAAAATGCTCTTCCTGCCACCGAGGTCACCAATGACTCCCTAGTAATATTTAATAAATACCTTTTAGACCTTATCTTGCTGGACTTGTGGAATTTGACAATGGTGGTGACTTTCTCAAAACCTTTGTTAGGATGCTGTCTTCTGGTTTTTGTTTCATTCTTCTGGTTGATTCTTCTCAGTCTTCTCATAGGTTTATCTTCCTCTGTCCACCCTAAATGTTGGTGTTTGTCATGATTCTGTCACTTCCTAACAGTCTTACTCACTTTTAAAGTTTAACTCTTACCCACAAACTATGACTGTTAAGTTGACATCTTCTGCGGCATGTGTGCTCCAGACCCATATGTTTGTCTTCATTTAGGCATTTCCATTTAGGCAATCCATATGCATCTCTACCTTAACAATTCTTAAACTGTTTAGTTCTGTTTAGGCAGCAGCAATGATAGTAAAAACAGGTAGTCAGATAAATAAAAACAGATTTACTCAGTTCTTTCTAGGTGCCAGGCTCTGCTTTAAGTGCTTTACATGAATTAACTCATTTTAACAACTGATACCATAAGGAAATTACAATGACGACTGTATAGATGAAGAAATGGAGGCACAGGAGTGTTAAGCAGCTTGCCTGAGGTCAGGAAGAAACGTGAGACAAAGCTCTGATCCAGATCCTGGCACTCTAGCTTCAAGCCAGTTTTCTAACCCCTGAGCAATAGTTGTCTTTCTTTTCTTTTCTTTTTTTAAATGTTATTTTATTTTATTTTCAGTGTTCCAAAATTCATTGGTTATGCATCACACCCAGTGCTCCATGCAATACGTGCCCTCCATAATACCTACCACCTGGCTCACCCAACCCCCCTCCCCCCTCCCCTCCAAAACCCTCAGTTTGTTTCTCAGAGTCCACAGTCTCTCATGGTTCATCTCCCCCTCTGATTTCCCCATCTCACTTCTCTCCATCTCCCAGTGTCCTCCGTGTTATTCCTTATGCCCCACAAGTAAGTGAAACCATATGATAATTGACTCTCTCTGCTTGACTTATTTCACTCAGCATAATATCCTCCAGGCCCATCCATGTTGATACAAAAGTTGGGTATTCAACCTTTCTGATGGAGGCATAATACTCCGTTGTATATATGGACCACATCTTCCTTATCCATTCGTCCATTGAAGGGCATCTTGGTTCTTTCAAGTCAAGTTGTATCTAAGACTCTTGACTGTGAATTCAATATACTTTTGGTAGTATTTGGCTTATTGAGTCAGGGGTGCTGGTAGTTTGGATTTATAGGAGACCTTTTTAATTCTCCAGAAATCTGAAGACATCTGCTAACAGTATGGCAGCTAACAAGTATCCAGGGATGGCTGACCCCACCTCACAGAGTCAGCCCAGAATAACACTAACCTCTCTACTAATGATCAAACGGAGTCTACTGCCTAACTTTCCTATACTTAGTTATATAGGATGAGTAGTGGTGGTAAAAACTATGTCTATTAAAGATTTTTTTTTTTTTTTAGATTTTATTTATTTATTTGACAGAGAGAGACACACAGAGAGAGGGAACACAATAGGGGGAGTGGGAGAGGGAGAAGCAGGGTTACCGCCGAGCAGGGAGCCCGATGTGGACTTCAATCCCAGGACCCTGATATCATGATATGAGCCAAAGGCAGCCGCTTAATGACTGAGCCACCAGGCACCCGAAACTATGTCTATTAAAGTCATGTCCATGCCTGGAGAGATGTGTGAACTATTTCTAAGAATAACAGGCTTAAAAAGGGAAGTAAAAAAAAAAAATGTGTATCAAGCTTAATGGAGTACAAATGTGACATACTGATTTTATAACTACTGCTAGACCTTTCATTTTTGTTAGTGAGCTAGTTTTTAAGAACAATATGATAGAAAAAAAATACCAATATGATGGAAGAATGAGAACTTTTCATCAGCTCCACCATGCAAATTGGTATCATCTTATAGCCCTAAAGACTAGAACAAACTATGAAATGTTTGAAGGAAATCTAGAGGCAACCAAGTAAACAACTTCCACGAAGAGATGAGTCAGGGATGCGTGCTGTGGAAATATGGTAATACCTGGACTCTTCAGATCTTTGGAGTTGTTTTTGAATTATGTGATGCTGTTGTTTCCTTCTCTGTGGAATGTTCCTTCAGGGGAGTGAGGGCCACAGCTGTGTTTGGACTCTGAAAAGTGTTGCCTCATTAACCCTTTAAAGTAAATGAATGGTCTGTATTAATTAGGTTTCTTTGCTCAACAGATCAGTGCTATGACACTTAATCCCACCGACAGCTCTTTCATCAAAATTCTCAAAATTCACTTCAATAATTCACTTGATTTCCAAAGTCAAAGTTTTACTTTCTCTTACTGCTCAGATGATGCTGGAACAAAAATCCATCTGACTCAGCAGGTGGACATGGCTGCGCAGGTTGCCTCTGGGATGGCTTATCTGGAGTCCCAGAACTACATTCATAGAGATCTGGCTGCCAGAAATGTCCTGGTTGGTGAACATAATATCTACAAAGTTGCAGATTTTGGACTTGCAAGAATTTTTAAGGTGAATCGTGTTTTGTTTTAATTAGGTTTTGTCACGGGTCAAAAGTCTAACATACCAGCAGACTGATAGATTTACTGTTGTTCCTCAAAATAATGTTTATCCAAGTTTATCCAAAAAATAATGTTTCTCCAAGTTCGGTGGTCCATAGAACACTTCGGTAGCCCAAGGCCTTGCAGATAAACCACCTCCTGTTTTTCTTTCTTCACCAAGGAGAAACAGAGAAAATGATGCCTAACCAGATGGGAAAGTACTTGATTAAGTTTGTGGTTGGATTAATGATCTGCCTTTCAGTGCAGTAGCCTCTCTTGGTTTGCCTCGATTTTCCTTACAAAAAGCAGTACATTTTGTATAGTCACTCCATCCATCTTTGCTCACTTTCTGCCAAATTAATATTCACGTTGCCAGAATTCTTTGCAATCACTGACTTTTTAATTCCTGGCCCTCACCCCGTGTCATGACATCAGGCCAAAAGACACTGACATAAGTGACATACTATTAGGTGTTTTTCTCTGAATTTAATTTTTACTTTCTACATCGTGCCCTACAAATAGGGGTGTGGAACATGAAACACAACGTGTAAGTGATTCTCTTTTGATCTTCATGAATTCATTATCTCTTTTTTAAATAAGTTAATTAGAACCCCAGTGACTTGATATATTAATTTAAATCATTTGGATTCTACTTTTCAATGTTAGAAAGTGAAACATGGTAATTATTAAAGTCAGTGGCTCTCCAATAACAGCAGTAAGTCTGGAAGCAGACTTTGCCTTCATTTTTTCTTTTTTTAATTTGCTGAAGACCAGATGCCAAAGACCATCACATGTGAGTTCTCCCACGTGTAGCAGCGTGCTCCTGTCAGTGCTATGTTTAGCACATAGTAGGCTCTTAAATAATATTTTATTAATGTTTTCTCCTAGATTTCTCAGTCTTATAAGCCAGATTTGGAATTTGCTACTATAATTATCTATTGAACTAGATCATTTTGAATACTTTCCCTCTAAATTTTAATGTGAAGCAGGTTACAGATGAACGAGGGTAGCAAAAAAAAAAAAAAAAAAATATATATATATATATATATATATATATCTCTTCTCACTTGAACTTGGCTTGATTCCTCAATGCATTAACAGGTAGGTAATGAAGACATCTATGAACCCAGACATGAAATAAAGCTGCCAGTGAAGTGGACTGCGCCCGAAGCCCTTCATGCTAATAGATTCAGCATTAAGTCTGATGTGTGGTCATTTGGAATCCTTCTTTATGAAATCATTACTTATGGCAAAGTGCCTTATAGTGGTGAGTAATTAATTCTGAAGTGGGCTTTTCTGCTGCAGGTCACTTACTTAGGTGTGACTTTAACTGCTTTGCCCAGACTTAGAGGGCAGAGTTATGGGGCTGACCACACCATGTGCCTGTGGGAGCATAATAGATAAAATTTGATGATGATGATTTGCATTAATGAAGTAGTTTATTGCCTCTTTCTCCTTTGCTCTTGAATTGTGGTCTTATAGACATTACTTGCTGCAAGATTTAGTTTAATATCTGCAGCTGGGGAAAGGGATGGTAGACCTCACATCTTCACCAAGGAAATCAGTTTGCTTTGTAATCTTGAATATAATTATCGATGAATTTAAGACCCTGATCTTTAACTTATTTTTTGTTGGTTCCATTCTATGCTATTTAGGCATGACAGGTGCTCAGGTAATCCAGGTATTGGGTCAAAACTATAGACTCTCTCAACCACCTAACTGCCCACCACAGTTCTACAACATCATGTTGGAGTGTTGGAAGGTAGACCCTCAGGAACGGCCAACATTTGAGAAACTGCATTGGAAACTTGAAGACTATTTTGAAACAGACTTTTCATTTTCAGATACAAACAACTTTGTAAGATGAACACTGAAGGAGAACATTCAATAATGAAGTAACAAAAGAGTTCAATAATCAGTCCAGAAATAACCTTATTAATCGACTGCCAGAAGAGCTTACCTCGACATATTCAAGTGAGAGGGTCAACTTGGCCATGTATTACGAAGAAGATTATATGTGTACTTCATTGACTGGGCAACACTGTAGGACAGTCTAAGATGATATTTTATCACTGTCTGGCAAAAATCAAACACATAAACACACTTTTCTTTTAAAAAAAAATACATTTCTATTTATTGTTTGAAATACTGATCAAGAGGATCAACAGATGATAGTTAATTTTTACTCAGTGACTGTTGTAGCATTTTCCTGTTTACTGATTAAAGTGGTTATTCATTATTCCTCGGATTGCTGAATCCCATCAGGCTGTTATTATGAAGGAATCTGATTGCTTTGCTGCACAGCAGGACCTGTGCTTTGAGATTTTTTTTTTCTCTTTTAAAATATCCTGTAACTACAATGATGGTAAAGCCATGTGAAATGACTTGATTGTACTTGGAGTAATTGCACATATTTTTTTCCTATGCATAAAAAAATGAAGCAGCTGTTGAGAAAAAGAATTAAAATTTCTCTCATTTTGAAGAAGGAAATGATGGGATTTTTCTGTACCTCGGTATGTGTCATCTGAGAATCATCTACATTAGTTTTAATCTCCTAATGTTAAGAATCAGATTGCAAAGCGGATGAGTTATTATCTCTGGAAATATGTGAGAAACATCTAATAGCCTGAAAAATCTGAGAAATAAGTATAAAATAGTTTAGGAAAATGAGAGGAGAGCAGTAGGATTGCTATGGCTTGGATTTCTGAATAATTTTAAGAAGATGGACCTTTGGCATATAGGCCGGAGTTTTAAATTGGTTATGGTACAGGTCAAGGTCAGTTTAGATCTAGAGGCTAGGAATAATGTCTGACTTGGGTTATGAAGCTGTATTTTTCTGTCTGGTACGATAAAAGGGGTTTTTACTCATCTCATATGTGCATTCACCTTTGTAAGAATGTTACTGTCTTCTTAAGCAATGGGTAGATCAAATTTTGTGCCCCATTAGGTGATTAGGGAGGGTTCTCAGAGGCAGTTTCAGAATCAAGTATATATTCAGAGATCTCTGCTGTAAAGCAATATGAATGAAACAAACCACAAGGAAGCATAGGATTCTGAGTACATTCTCTCATCTTTAAAGGAAAAGAGGAACATATCCGAACAGTTTTGGAAACCGAAATCCAAAGTAGAGGAAGGGCTAAGAAGAAAGTGTCTGAGCTCTACCTGGAAGGCTGGTTCCACAGCATCACCACTTCATTGGTAGTCATGGGGACCCGCGTTCTTTCCATCTGTCTTCTCTGTCAGCAGCATTGTTCTCATTCTCAAAGTCACAGATGGCTCAGTAGCAGCTGGGGCTCCCTGGTAGCAGAAAATGGGAAACCTCTCTCTCTGCGTTTTCAGCCGGCATAAAAGACACTCTTTTGGGGGGCACCTGGGTAGTGCAGTCAGTTACGCCTCCGACTCTTGGTTTCCGCTCACGTTGTGATCTCAGGAGTGTGAGATCAAGCCCCAAGTAGGGCTCCGTGCTCAGTGCAGTCGGCCTAAGATGCCCTCTCCCTCTCTGTCCGCTCTTCTCCCCCTGCTCTCTCTCCCTCAAGTAAATAAATAAATAAATAAATCTTTAAAGAACATCATTCTTTTTTCTCTGTAGGCAAATTGGGGCACATGCCGACACATAATAGACTTATTGTAATGTTATGTGCTGATTGGCTTAGAGTAAGTTCTGCCACTGAAGCCGGAAATGTGGCGATTCTTCCCGGAGACAGTTGGAAGGTTGGCTTATCGGAATAAAATTAGATGCTGGATAGGTATCCATTAAGGAGAAAATCCCAGATGTAGGTCGGTGTGTGTACATACATTCAGACTTCTCTGAAACTGAAATGGGTCATGTGGAGCTATTGATCATAGAGCGCCTTGACTTTTTTTTATAAACGGGAAAGACTTACAAGATAAAGTCCACACAAATGCCTATGTATAGGACAACTTTATTTGTGTAAAGTCAGAGTCTAATTGTGAAAATTCAACTACTGTATAATCTTTTTTGTAGAAGCTGATAATAATAACTTGCTTAGTAAGATCTGATTTTGAAATGTATAGAGAAGGCTATCCTTTCTTGTTTTAATAACACCTGAAACCGGTTTAACTTACTACATTTGATTCTTGGAGACATTTATGTTCAAGGTTTGGTCAAAGCAATCTATTATTCTTGTTTTTGCCTGATGGATCATAGAGAAAAATAATGGATTCAGTTATGAGAAGCAGTAATAGATTTTTTTTTAAGATGACATAAATTTCTTTCCCTGTATAGAATAAAAGGATCGGGAAAAGATAAGTTGAATTTTCCTACAATGAGCCAGTTCTTGTTAAATTTACCTCCCATAAATTGTAGCAAAGCTCTTTTCTAGGTAATGTTTTATTTATGTAATTCAGTTATTTGGAGGTGGTGGTGAAGAATGTGAGTACATCATTCCATGTGGTATTTCAAATCTCTTTTGACAAAAACCTAAGAATTTTTGCAATGGGAAAAATTCAAAATTCCATTAAGCCTCTTTTAAGAAGGTTAGGAAGGAAATAGGTATATATTACCTAAGGTCAAAAGAGGCACAGAGTGGATTCCTAATAGCTGTGGAACCTGAATATTGTATCATTGAAAACTAAGTAAAATGGAAGTGACCGGCAATCTGCTAACTGGGCCATGGTGGGCAGGGTGTCTCAAAGGACACCAAAGACCAGGCATGGGGAAATATCAGGCTGAGCCCGTTTCCATCCTCATAATATATGTCTACATGGTGACTGCATGGATCAACTCAATTGTAATGGGCCAAAGCTCTTGATTCTCTCTCTGATGGCCCAAAAGGAACCATTGCCCTTGGAAGGATGCCATCATGTCCCCCAGCTGGAGCTTTCTTGAGGAAGCAGCACCCTGCTGGTGATCCTTGCCTTTGCCAAGCACATGCCCTATCTGCAATAAGGTTTTTCATAGTCTAGTTGAGCATATGGTTTCTGGACCAAAAAGCCTGTCTGATAGAGTGTCTGTGGTGATTTTTAAGGACCCTGCAAATGATACATTCTGCAAACCAGAATGGTGATAACATGGGTAATTATTCACCTTGTGTTACCGTTTTCTCCCATTGAAAACACCTACACCGAAAAATAAATGGTAAATGAGGGTTGAATGCCTGGGTACCGGAATTGCCTGTGGGCTCATCTGGAAATGTTCAGTTCTCTGGTATTTCCTTGGCATTGTTATGGAGAAGTTTTGGTCTATAGTCTCCAATATGATCGAAAAATTTAATGTTGTAACATTAAAAAGAAGAGAAAAGGCTGGGTAGTTTGGTGGAGAGGGAAAACTTACAAATCTTTTAAATCCATGGCTCCAGTAATATTTTAATTTTCATAGTGTCATCTTTTTACTGCCTACACTACACCATTAAACTCCTTCAGATTTTTCATTTTTTTTTTATGAAGGAAGTGATGGTAAATCTCTTAAATTATTTATTTCATTCAGACATAAGCTGGAGAATAAAAATAGCATGCAGACCCTGAATTTCAGAGCCTGTTACAAGTTAGGCTTCAATCTGCACCCGGATGACACTATCTACATCGAAGTTACAAGATTCAGTTATAAGGACAGAAACACCCAATTATTTCCATTTACTCTTCTTGCCTGAGTAGTTTATCCATTAGTCATCTGAAGTAACAGACTTCAATGTAACATCTTTTTCATCCTCTTGGAATATAATCAGCTCTTCCAGGAAAGGGTAACAAATCTCAAACCTGTGTTAAGTATCTAGTTATGTATATTTCTGTGCAGGGGATTCAAGTCATAGAACATAATAACCCTGAAATCATATGTTAGGGGAAAATGCTAAAAGCAACTAAAATTGCTTGGTTTGGAAGAAGCTAAACATTGTCTTGTAATAATTCTCTGGGATTTTAGAATAGAGGTTTGATTGTACTTCATGTGAAAGATAAGGTTGCTTGATATTAACCAAACTGCTTTAATGTTTATGGTCCACACAATTTCAGGGTAGATATTAGAGCTTTCAATCATTTTTCAGAATCTGCATTTAATTATAGATTCAGAAAGTGGGAAAGAAAGCCAATTAGCCAGATTCTATCCTTTAAAGGTACCATAGTCTCTAAAAATTTGTCTCTAAAAAATGAGTATTTCTATGTTATATGCTTTAATAATACATTGTATGATTACATGCAAATGTATTTATACATGATTAATATATGTATCAAAAAAAGATAAAAGATAAAACTTCTTTCTGGGGCACCCAGAACGTGACTGTATTTCAGGGTCGTGAGTTCAAGCCCCACATTGGGTGTGGAGCCTACTTAAAATAAAAGAAAAAGAAAAGACTTCTTTTAATTGTTCCACTTGTTACAGCGCTATTCCTTATCTTGGCTTAAATGTAACCAATATTTGAAAAATTTCTACTTCCGGGTTCTTTAAAATACTAAGGCAAAGTCTTTTCTTGAAAATACATTTTACTCTAAGTGTTCTATCTTTATTTATGCTGGATGTTTTCATTATGCCAGTTATATCAAACTAATTACTTTTAACTTAACTTTTAAAAGTTGACTTCATTGTTTCAGAGGTCAAGTTGGTTGTGGACCCATGACATAAATTTGATGTATTTTATAGCATTTAGAATGTTTCCTCGGTTGACTACATTAAAAGGGCTTACATTTATGTGATGGGCGAAATAAGTTGGTGAACCCAGGAAAGAGACCTTGCTACACATTCACTGCTGGTCACCTGCTTCATGTCACCTTTATCAGAGACCCAAGCTGATGGAGAGATCCCAGCTCTGACATTGTCCATTGCTGTAGCAGTGGGAATGAGAGCTCTAGTGGGTCTCATGTTGACAACTGAATCCTTGGGCCCAGAAGATACATATGTTGCTTCTACTCACAACTAACTCATTGACCATAATCACATGGCTTTACCGAGACACAAGGAGCACGGGGTGTATAATCTTACCACGTACCCAGAGAGAGGGCACCAGAAATACTCAGGGAACAGCACTAAACGCTATCACCCTACATTAGAACCTAAAGTTTTACATGAATCTGAGTGTTGGAAGGCCACTTATACTTATTTACCCATTCCTTTCCCTTCATTATTTTATTTATTCATTAAATAAATGTAGATTGCTACTGAGTAACACACATTGGGCTACATAATTGAATAGAGTTGTGAACAAGGGAGAAATGGACCCTGCTTTCTCTCAGGTTACAATCTATCCGGGGAGATGGATTGGAGTATGTGACTCACAAATCTATGTGCACAATTTTATCTTCCCATATTCTCCCGAAGAATGAACTTAAGGTCTGTAAGCTGCTAGCCTGTGGTAAGCTACTATCCTATGTCCGTTCTCTCCTTGCTTCTTAAAA